ATGGGGATGAGTGGACAGCCGTGTTCCCTGGTCCTTATTGTCCAGGTCAGGGAACTGATAAACAATCAGGACGCGGGTGGATGGGAGAGATTACCACGAATTTAAGGGCAGAAATACGGAAAAGGAAAGAGAAGAAGTGCTCAGGAGGAAAGCCTCTGAAAAAGGGGAAATGCTCCGCTGTCGGAAGGTCAGGCAGAGAGAGGGAGAGAGGCTGGCCTCGAACTCACCACAATCCTCCTGCCTCAGCCTCCAAGGGCTGGGATTATGGGCACCATCAATCCTGGCTCCTACATTTATTTCACTTCCAAAAACGTGTTCTACAGAAGAACACATGTACCCTGTGATTGGCTTATCTCACCACCGCAACATTTTTCTATCCTTTTCTTTCGTTCTTTCTCTTTCTTTCTTTCTTTCTTTCTTTCTTTCTTTCTTTCTTTCTTTCTTTCTTTCTTTCTTTCTTTCTCTCTTTCTTCTTCCTTCCTTCCTTCCGAGACAGAGTATGACTGTCATTCAGGCTGGCCTTCAACCCACTATGTAGCCCAGGTTGGCCTAGAACTCATTGCGATCCTCCTGCCTCAGCCTCCTGAGTGCTGGGATGACAGGTGTGAGCCACCACACCCGCCATGTCTTTCTGTAAGGCACAGGTCTTCCTGTCTTTGGAGCCATAGTGCTTTCCTGAGCACCATGCCCCGTTCTAACCGGTGTCATCCTGGGGAGCTGCCCCCTGTCTGGTCTGGTGCCGTTGTGTCTTCAGGGCTGGGGTGACCAGGTAGGAGGCTGCTTGGCTTGGCACTGGACTACACGGTTCAGGCACCCCCTGCGACCCTGTCCCAGCCCCTCAAAGGCTCAGGTGAGGCTGGGGAAGCATAGTTTCCAGTTTTCCCATGGTGACCCTGCCGTGTGGAGATGTGTCCCTTTGGCTCCCAGGAGCCCCTGGCAGGAAGCAGCCTCAGCAGGAGCTGAACCCGGCCTGCAGCGGTGGAAAAGGCGATACTCCTGCCTGTCCCAGCAGCCGCTGCTGCTCCCCAGGCACACAGGGACTGGGCGACACGGGGCCAGGTCCCGGTCTCCTTCCCTCCAGCGGCCACACTCAGACCCCTGGAGACTCTGCTCCATGTAGAAGCCCGGGTTCAAAGGCTCGTGGCCCTGGAGCCTTCACTGCAGCCAGGGTCGCAGGTGAGGATCTGAACCTCCATCCTGTGACAGAGACCCGGCCAGGTGCCAGGTGCATTCCATATGGCACAGATGGGACTCTCAGCCCTCTGGGGGAACGGCCTCCTGCAGACCCAGACTCCGCTGGTCTCGGCGGCTGGGTCCGTGTGAGCTGCAGTCCCTATCCCTGCCGAGGCCTCGCAGGACCTGGCCAATGTCCTCTGAAGACCAAGCGCTGGCCACAACTCCCCAGTCTCCCTGCAGCTCTTCCTCGGTCCACGGTTAGCGGCTTACAGAGTTGGCGCCCCAGCTCACGGGTGTGTGTGTGTGTGTGTGTGTGTATTCCCGAGGAGTCCAGCTACCCTCTAAGATGTTTTATTTATTAATTTTTTCTTCATTGGTCCACGCTTGCAGCACATGATGACAGTGTCCGTCTGGAGAGTCGGTGTGTGGGCGCAATGCATTTAAATTCCTCTGCTCTAGTTTTAGGGCCCTTTCAGTTCCTAGCTTTTTCCTTGCTAACTGTGTGCACCTGCGACATTTCAAACCCTCACTGCTCGGCCTGAGCAGGATTTTATGCTCTTATCATTTGCTGGTTGGGGAGTGCCTGACTCCAGCCCTTATTTGGTCTTAACATGAGATTGGCAGCCGGGTGGGCTGGCGCACTCGGGAGGCTGAGGCAGGAGGATTGCTTTGAGTTTGAGGCCAGCTTGGGCTGCATTGTGAGTTCATAGTCAGCCTGAACCGCATGAGAACCTGTCTCAAAAAACCCACAAAACAAAATAAAATAAAATTTTCAAATGAGACTCCTGATGAAAACCCACCCTATGTTCTATACACTGTGGTTTTCTTTAGTAGTAGAGTCCATAATTGGCCATATTTATTTTTCTAAGTTCTTTTGTTTCCTATCCAGGAAAGTAATTTCCTTCATAGGATTTCCTAGCTCCCAGCAGGTATAGTCTACAAGTCTGAATTTCAAAGGAACTGCATGCCATGAAAATAAAGTGAAGCATTACTGAAGTTTTGGAATGGATGGTTTGCCCTTGGTGATTCCTGACTGCTACTTTACACTATATACTGAAACAAAAAAGAGAGAGAGAAAATCACCACTCTCCTGTGCCGCCTGCGCCTGTCTCACACCAAAACAATTCACACTGTAACACGGTGTTTGAAACCCTTTCAAGAAGACACCGAGCAAGGAATAGAAATTCAAGTGGAATTTGAGTTTTAATTTTCTGAGGCATCTCCATAGTGATTTCCATGGAGGTTCCCATTTTTTCAGCAGTGTGATTTATAAATAGCTTTATCTTTCAAAGGACTTCTTTGCCCATCACCAGATGACTGGATAAAGACAATGTGTGATTTACACACCCTGGAGTACTACTCTGCCCTGAATAAGGGCAAATGACTCATTAGTACGAAAATGGATGCAACTTGAGAGCATAATGTTAAGTGAAATAAATTAGAGCATGTGCTTCAATAGTATAGGGTTTCTCTTATATGAGAAACAAAGTATACACAAGGGGCAAAATAAAAGATAGATGACAGGAGACAGGGAGGTAAAGGGAGAAGGGAGAAGGAGAAGGGATGGAGAAGGAATTCGGCTGTGTCCCTAAGCTGCACCAGCCCTTCACAGGGGCCATCCATTACCATGTACTACACACATACACTGATAGAACTGAAAAGTGGAAATGATTCACTTAGGTCAAAACTGGGCCAAAAGCTGGGCGTGGTGGCTCATGCCTGTAATCCCAGCACTTGGGAGGCTGAGGCAGGAGGATTGTTGCGAGTTCAAGAACAGCCTGAACTGCATAGAGACCCTGTCTCAAAAAGACAAAAAAAAAAAAAAAAAAAAAAACAACCAGGCCAAAGCAAGCACCCTTGTCAGGTGATGCAGAGGCACTGTCGCAGTCTCTGCAGCTGCTGCCTCCCCCACTGTGGCCCTGGGTTTACAGCTCAGGGAGCAAAGGGTCCCCCAGAACACTTCCGTGGGCCCCAGCTCTGGGCGGAGCTGCCTGGGCTTGGCTCCTCCCAATTCTGGGATCTTTTTCTTTCTCTTGATGGGCAGCAGACAGCATCCCACCGAATCTCAAACCATTTCACTAACACTGCCACCCACTGCGCTCAGGACTGGTCCTACACTAGGCCCCAGGAAACCACCACGAAGTGCAGGCCCTGTGTCACCTGCTGTGCCATCCACAGGTGGGGCCTGCATAACTGGGACCCCAGCCCTCGGGCAGACGCTGAGGCGCAGAGGCATTGTTCCAGCCACGCCTCAAGTGTCCCAGTCCCCCAGCTCCACCCCAGTCGGAAGCGCCTGAGTGGAGCCCTGGCTGAGGTCACCATGCAAGTGCTGGGGTAGCACTGGGTGTCCCCAAGGTCACTGTGCTCTCCCGAGACCTCAAATGTCGCTGTCCCTGCAGGTCCCAGGATCTGAGCAGCAGACACACCACTCACCTGCCACGCAAACGGGCCACATCGTGGGGTCCCCAAGCACTTGAAGGCCAGCATGTGAGCAGAGCCCGGCCCCAGGTGCCTCTCACCAGTCACAACACCGCTGTCTCAGGCCGCTCACTTCCCCAACTGTGGTTTACTCCCTGTCCGTGCTGGAGGCCAGGATGAGAGAGAGGCAAGGGGTGCACTGTCCCGGGGTCCTGGGGACAGCCGGTCCCTGGACGTGAGTCCCTCGGGAAGTATGAGGGCCCTGGGTCACGAAAAGGCCACCCGGGACTCAGGAAAGGGCTGGGAGCAGCCTCCATCCTGAATACAGCCAAAGCTGGGAGAGAATAGGACGGGGACTGCTGGAAGAGAACGGCCAGGCCAGGAGTGAGGACCGGGGCTCAGCCACGTGGCAGCAGTCAGAGACAGCTACCTTGTCACTTAGGGAAGGTGAAGTCACTCTAATTACAATGAATTTAATCTTCTTCTTTTGGTTTTTTGAGACAGGGTCTTGCTGTGTAGCCCAGGCTGACCTCAAACTCAGGGCGATCCTCCTGCCTCAGCCTCTTGAGTGTAGCGCCATGTGTAGCCCAGCGTGTTTTGCAAAGCTCCTAGAAATGGTCCTAAGTCCACTCGATATGCAGTGGTGGCCACCGGTGCAGTTCATGTGGGGCGGCCTGTGTTTGTAGCCCAGCCGCTCACCGGGAGCCCGGAAGGGGGCGGGCATTGTGCCCTCCTGGCACCTGGCCAGACGCGGCAGGCTGCTGTTTCCACGATGGCTCCTAGGGGCCTTAGAAGAAAAGGTCCACAGCCGCCCTTGGGGTGGCCTCGCTCTGTTCCTGGGACCCCGTGAACCAAGCTACCCATGCACGTGGCATCTGCTCGGCACTGCCTCTGAGGCCTCCCTCTAGAGACAGCGACCGCCACATCCCAGCGGGAGTTTCCCGGGCACAGCTCTGTGCCAGGGGCGTGTAGCTGCGTGGAAGTGCCGAGGCACATTACCGTTCTGGATAGTCAGCCCCCTAATTCTGTCATGAGCAGAAAAATACACTGCTGTGCACGACCCTTCGTCATCAACAAATCGGGATTGTACGGTGCTTTTTCTTTGGATTTTTGAGCTGATCTCATGTAGTTACGGCTGGCCTTGAACTCACTGTGTAGTCCAGGCTGGTCCCAGACCTGCAGAGATCCTCCTGCCTCAGCCTCCCGAGTGCTGGGACTACACCCATGCGCCATCACTCTGGGTCATAATTTTATGTTTTTTCAGAAATTAAATTTCGCCTTCTAGCTGCATAGTCTTGGGATAGTTTATATCAATGAGAAAAGGCACGCATGGGGGCACTCGGCCTCATCTGGGCATTCTTCCTACAAACCCTAGTTTGTAAATAATGAGGCTGGATCACAGCAAATGGGTCCTATTGCTTTTACTGATCACTGTCATTAGACAAAGTTAGCCAAGTATGTGGGGGGATTAGAAAGCATGAAGATGCCAGGCACGTGCACCGTCCCTGCACGGAGCTCCATGGGTTGGGCCGAGCGGCACTTTCCTCTCCGGACGCATACACGCACACCAGGGCGCTCAGAGGTGTGTGTCGGCGATGGGGATCCGGCGTAGCTCCACGATCTGCGAGTCACTCAGTGCGCCACCCTCCTGGCTGCCCTGGCCGGACTCCGTGTCACTCACGCTGAGGCCAGCGCCTGCGGGGACAGGGACAACACAGAGCCATGAGGGGCAGCAGGCGGCTCCCTGCCACCACACTGCAAGCACAACACTGCAAGCAGGACTGATGCAAACGGAAGAAGAATCGAGTTACAGTGAGCTCAATGCACTTCCCCGACTGGAGCAAGGCACATACCTGCATGGACAACGTTACCACTAATAACGATGGGACTATATTTAAATTGACTTTGCTTTTCAAAGTAGAAATCAAGGCATGAAGATTCCTTAAGCTAGAGGCCAGCTTGGGCTGCATAGGGAGACCCTGTATCCAAACAACAGTAGCCAGACAGAAACGGCAAGCGTGGCTCGGGCCAGCAGCTCGAGGTGGGTGAGCAGGATCTGAGGTCTCAGGGACAGGGCTGTCCGTAGGGTGGAGCAGGGGACAGAGGATCCGGCGTGACACCCAGGAGCAGCAGCCTCCTGTGCCTTGGCATTCACTTGCTTTGCAGACAGTGTCTGGATTTGATGTTTTTTTGTCTGCTTTCGGAGACAGGGTCTTGCCATGCAGCCATGTTGGTCTTGGACTCATGGTGATCCTCCTGCCTCAGCCTCCCGACTACTGAGATCACAGGCACGAGCCACCACACCCAGATAAGGATTGTAATTTTCTGAACGCTATTTTTGTTTTCCATTCTTAACTCAAAGTGTGAGAGGAATCAATCCTGGGGCCGTGCTCATCCTGCTGCTTCGGTGAGGTTCGGGGTCCGCCTCTGTCTGCAAGCCCCAGCTCCCTGGCACCTGGCACCTGGCACCTTGTGAGCTCAGAATTACAACCGCGTGGCCCTTCAAGGGCTGATGCGTATGCGCGTCTGCAGTTCTGCACCAATCAGCGCCTGGGAGCTGTGGCCTCCATCAGCGCCTCTGTGAGGCCAAAAGCAGCGCCACACCTCGGACTCCTCAGTAACCCTGGTATTAACATTTCTCCGCGCTTTTCTTTCCTGGTGCATGCATTATTTTTTGGGAGACTCTATTATGAACATTTAAAATTGTTTTCAAGCTGACAACCAATTGAGCCCGACAAAGAATTCCTACTGTGTACCAAACCCAGACTACACCAGATGCTTTCCGCAGACCCACGCTCATGTGCAAGCCATCCAGTGTCACCATCGTGGACAAATGAGGATACACAGAGTCCAGTGCCCGAAGGACACCCCAGCCAAGACACGGAAGCACCAGGAATTCAATGTTTGCTGACTCTGTAGCCGGTGTCAGTCAGGTTTTTGCCACAGTGACAAAATACCCGAGATGAAGAACTACAAGGACAGGCTAATTTTGGCTCTCGGCCTCCATGGGTCCTCAGAATTCATTCTTTGGCTTTGGGAAACACAAACTCGGGTGTATCAGATATCCAGGGAATGGAGGTGCCTCCATTCCCCCTACATCATGTGGAGGCCCTATATCAACAGCAAGCTGTTCAGGGCCTGAGATACCTGCAGCTTAATTTAACAGGATGATGAAGGACGTTTAGTGCTTTAAAACACTAAAATTTATAAGACAGTGAATTTCATATTTGGTACTTAAACTTATGATGCAAAACTTTAAATGTTTATTTAATTATATGCAAAGGCGCCCTGGTTTTTAACTTTACTTACAGGTTCAGATGAAGCCTACTTGGAAGATGGGCTGCTCCCAGAACTTGGCCTCGTGCAGCCCCAGGAGGCTGCAAGCGCAGAGGAAGGTTGGGGGCCACCACAAGCTGGGGATACGGGTTTGGGGGATGCAGGACAAACCGTGCTCATGTCGAGGGCCACTCGTCCAATCACCCAGCGTGGGACAGATTTCAAGCACTCCACTGCTAGGTTTTTTTCCCCCAGAAATTCTGGATTTTTATGGGCTATCACTACATTTTTAATGTAGCCTCCAAAAGCCTTAAAATATTGGCTGACCATGGCCTGTGGGTCAATGGTAAATTCTTCTGCATACAGAAGGGCGTGCAGACTGCCTTTTCACTTAACCCTATTCTCTGATGGAACGTGCCGGGCAGGGGATGCTTGGTTATTTTATTATAGTCTCTTTTCTAAAAATACAGGGAGCCGACGCTAGGGACTGTGATTTCAATCTTGGAAAGTATTTATTTCCTGGTGAGTTCAGGAAACCCTAAGGAATGTTCCACTAAATCTATAAGTCAGCGAGTCATTCCGTGCATTCCCCAGGCAAATGCATCTGATACTTGTTCCATATATAACCAGGAGTCTAATTGAATGATGCTCCAAGAATTCACTTCATGTTTCTGGTGTTACCTGACACTGCACATGGAGCTGGGGACACCATCTGCCAGAGAGTGGTCTGTAGCCCGGAAGTGCCCTGCTGCCCCAATGTTCTCTCCCTGGACCGCTTCCTCCTCCTGAAGCCCTCTTCGCTGTGACCTTACCGTGGTTTCTCTGGATCACTCTTTTAGGCATTCTTGTCACATTTCATTAGCTAGATGCCTCCTGCAAAAGCCTCGCACTCGGAGGAGGCAGGACTTTGCCATGTAGACTGATAATAGGGGCTCCCAGCTAATTAAGAGGCAGGGTCTGATTGGAAGAGGCAGCCATGGGGCGTGACCTGGTAGGTTTTACCCTCCCCCTCAGCCTGATTGGAAGAGGTGACAGTGAGGGCGTGGTCTTACAAAGGTTTATTTTCCCTCTGAAATCTGATTGGAAGAGGTGGTCGTGGGGGCGTGGCCTGGAAGGGTTTATCTCCCTTTCCAGCTCCTCCTCCACTCCCTCTGCTTCCTGGTCACCTCGCGGTAAGCTGCTGTGCTCCCCCCTGGCTCCTCTGTTCCTCTGCAGTGCTCTTTCTTCTTGGAGCTGGCAGCCCAGGGGCGGGAACAGGAGCCAAAATGAACCTCTCCTTTCAGATGTGGGCTGTTGGGGACAGTGTCACACAGGAAAGAGAAACGTGAGGAGGTCAAATCTTCAATGTGTTGAGCTGTGTTTTCCTGTGTTTCCCACACTCTCTTTCCCTCCTCTCTCAATCTCTTCCGCATCTCTTCTCCTTCCCATCTCACAGACTGAGCTACAGACAGGATCTCTGCACTGATGCATCCCGGATGCTGTCTCCCCGACCCTGCCTAGGTTCTGCCCTGAATATTCAGAAGCCACCAGGTCTGAGTCCAGCCTGAACTCTTCTTTCCACTGTAGAGAAAGCTGCAACAACTGGATGGCTTTTTCATATTATGCAAAATGCCAGTCAAGTGTTCTGTCCCCCTAAAATGATCACTCACTGCTTATATTACAGGGACAACAGGTTGAATTCTTTGCTTTAGGAATTTTTTAGTTTTTTTTTTTTTAAACACAGGGTCCTGCCATGTAGCCCGAATTGGTTTTGAAGGATTGCAGAGATCCTCCTGCCTCAGCCCCTCCAGTGCTGAGATGACAGGCACATGGTACCACACCGGGCTCTAGGGAGTTTTAGAATTGCTAAAATGATAATGTGCATTGTGAATCTCTGCAGTTGCCCAAATGGCCAGGGATCCTCTTACACTGGTCTGGCATGACAGACTCAAAGAGGTGCTCCCTGGCACCTGACAGGCGAGCCCAGCGGCCACTGCAGTGCTGTGTGTCAGGCCTTCCTGCTGCTGCCTGGCTCCTGGGCTCCCTTGACACTGGGCTGTACACTGAAGCCTTCAGGCTCTGGTTAACCCCACTTACTCCATCGGTAAGTCACTCCTTCATGCCTGGCCTATTTAAAGCTCATGCACTCCTCAAGAATCAACTGAGCCAGTAGGGTGAGGCATGCCTGAAATCCCAGCACTCGGGAGGCTGAGGCAGGAGGATCATTTCATGGGCTACAGAGTGACTTCAAGGTCAGCCTGAACTACATGGAGAGACCCTGTCTCAAAACACCAAAAGGTCTTTTTGGCAGGTCGGAGACAAAATTCCCTCCTGCTGAACTAACTTGCCTTCAGAGTATCTCCTGTTCTAGGGGCTTCCTGGACAGAGATATTTATATTTAGTCACAGTATGGCTTTTACTTTCTGAAAAGCAAATTGTAAATTATTTCTAGGTTGTGTTCTATTTGGTGCCAAGGACAAAACAATCTCAGGTCTGGCAGGGACTAGGATGGGTCTGGGCATCACGTCACGCAAGATGAGGTTCTATGATTCGGCCGGAAGGAGGCGGAAGCGCACATACCTGTCTTCAGTGCAAAGATCAGGTCATCAAACTCCTGGGACTCCTCATCTGCGGTCAGCGAGCCCTGGCTGAAGCCGCCTGGGGAAGGGAAGGTGGCGCCATTCTGTGAGCCGCTCTTCAGGTCAGGACTGGCCTGGCTGGTCTGCTGGAAGGACACACGCTCCCAATCCGGTGGCACCTTTGTGGGTGGCATGGGAGAGGGAGGGAGACCGAGTCAGTAACTGCTCCCTCCTCGCATCTCCAGACCTTGGGAAAGGCTGTGGCTTTCATAAAATCCAGAACTATAATGCTGATTTTACATTATTTCTGTGTTTGAGTACCATGTGGATTTCTCAGCTGGCATGTCACTGTGCAGTCTAGGCTGGCCTTGAACTCACTATGTAGCTCAGGCTGGCCTTGAACTTGCAGCAATCCTCCTGCCTCAGCTTCCCAAATGCTGGAATTACATGTGTGCACCAGCACACCTCTTACTGCTTTCTGAAGCAGCTCTGCAATCTTCTTTCATGAGGGTCTTTAAAAGTTTGGATAAAAAATACGGTGAGTGCTACTGCCAGATGCCAGCCAACAGAAGGGCAGGGCTGTGACAACATTACAGTCCATCCTGATCATCTCGGTCACCAGATCTGGTGCTGCCCATCTCTGCCTCTTCCTGAGTCAGACGGGCATAGCGAAAGCAGAGAGGACTCAGGACATCTAGGCAGCCAGGCCAGTGCAGCTAAAGATACTCGGGAGAGAGGACCCTAGGGCTGCTGCAGAAGGCTTTGAGACCTTGGGATGCGTGTGCTCAAAGGGAGGCGGATTGCGGAATCCTGGGGGCCGCCCATTTCGCGCTCTCGGGGCTCCCGCTCTGCCAGGGCGCAACCCAGTACCCGCTCCTGAGGCAGCCCCACATGAGACAGTGCACGTCCCATACCGCACGGCCGGTGCTGGTCAGAGGGGCACGCAGGGCAGTGGGGAGACTGAGCCAGGTGCTCGGTGAACTGGTGTGGGGAGGCAGGCCAAGGTGTTAGGAAAATAAATTAGACAAGCGAGCGGCGGGGTCTCTTTATAAGAAGCCCAAAGCAGGAATGAGTTGAAGAGCAACGCCAGGGATACAGCGCAGTGGCATAGCCTCTGCGATTCCAAATCCTGGTACAAAAAAGAAAAAAAAAAGGTAATCGGAAATAGAAAGAGAGACTTCTGTGAATCCGCAGGGGACCCAGAGATGGAGGGGGCCCTGGAGGAAGAATGAAGACCTGTTCTGTCTGCGCACCAACTCCTCATGAGGAATGGAATCATTGGGCACTGGGAACCTGTACTAATAAAAAAAACTGGACGTGGTGGTGCACACCTGTGATCCCAGCACTCAGGAGGCTGAGGCAGGAGGACTTCCGCGTGTTCAAGGCCAGCCTGGGCTACCTAGCAAGACCCTGTCTCAAACAACCAAAAAAAAAAAAAAAAAAAAGACATCTTTTATATTGTTTTTAAAAGGGAAAATCTAAAACATTTTTCAGACATTACAGATTTCATAACATAGTTACCTAAATATCAAAGATGATCCAGTGATGGCTTTAAGAAACATTCTGCCATGAATGAATGCAAATCAGTGATGTAATCCACCAAGGGTAAGCACTGCACTGCAAAGGCGTGCTGATACAAACAAGATAAACTCCTGAAAACATGGTAAGAAATTTGCTATCCCCTCAAAAGGACCATGGAGCAGAGAATACCAGTAGATAAAGGACTTAAGGGCCACCTGGCATCGCTTACCTAAGCCTCCCTATGGGATAGAAAGGTGGTCACAGAGAGGAGAGCTGGGAGGTGGGGAGGGGAGGAAGGGAAGGGGGAGGGGGAGAGGTGGGCGAGGGGAGGCATGGTGGGGGAGGGGAGGGAAGAGAAAAGGGAAGGGGCAGGAGGGAGCCGGAGAAGGGAGGGGAGGAGGGAGAAGAGGGAAAGGAGGAGGGAGGCTGGGGCAGGCGCACCTCTTCCATGGCACCGATGAGGTTCTGCGTGGACTTGCTGACCTCCTCGCCCATGGCCGGCATCCCGCTCCCCGGCGTGAAGAAGGCGGAGCCGGGGCCCGGGTGGCCGTTCACCTCCACGGTGTAGCTGGCCTTCATGGGGCAGCACGTCTGGTTGTGCAGGACGAAGTACACCACGAACACGTAGAGACCCTGGGAGAGAGCAGGCCCTGCCTTGTGAGCGCGTCCCAGCCGTGCTGCTACCCAACCCAGCTGCTGCCCAGGAGTCCCAGGTCACCGGGACCTCGGGCCTGAAACCGAGCATTCTGAGCGTTCTTCTTCCTCAGTGAAAGTCTAAGTTTGCGACCCATGCAGAGCGCCAGCCCCTCTGACTGCAGCCGGCCAGCCCGGTCCTGTGGGGGGACAGAGTGACCCAGGGCTCGAGGCTCTGGGGCCAAAGCCAGCAGCATTCAGGCCCCTCCTAACCCTGACCAGGAACAGCATGCACAGGGCTGCAGCCCTGGCTGCCCACCCTCCTGCCTGGCCCCACAAGGGAGCCCCCAGGCCTAAAAAGCCAGGCGACGTCAGTCCACCTGCAGGCAGCCCAAGAAGCAGGTGGGCACCTTCTCTGGTCTCAGTGCATTCCGGGATTTATGTTTCCGATGCCAGCAAGAATGAGCCTAGATATGCAAATTCTTAAATTCATCCGCAAAAATAAATCCAAGACTTCGCTAACTGAAGAATAAAAGCTTAATGTGAAGATTTTTCAGAAAGCATGAATAAGTACCTTCATTTTGTGAAATGTGCGCTCGCCTAGGGTTCCTAACATTCCTAGGCATGCAGAGGCAACCATACACTTGGGAGTCCGAAAAAAACCTGTTAGAAAATACAGACATGGTGCATATGCCTGAAATCCCAGCATTGGGAGGCTGAGGCGGGAGAGGCGCCTCCGGTTCAGGCTGGTCTGGGCTACAGGAGACCTTGTGTCAACAGGCAAAAGAAGGACAAGGAGAAGAAAAGAAAGAGGAAGAAGAGGAGGAGAAAAAGGGCGGGGGGAGATACATAGAGCCTACCAAATTGCAAACATTATTATCATCATCATTATTACCGTTATTACTTATGCTCCTGAGCATTCAACCCAGGACTCTTGCACTTAACGACATCTCCAACTTTATTTTTTTTTGAGACAGGGTCTACCTAGTTGCTAAGTGTTGCCTGGGCTAGACTCAAACTCGTGATCCTCCTGCCTCAGCCTCCCACAGCGCTAGGGTTTCCATGCAGTGGGATGACAGGACAGCCAGAGAGGCTGTGCATTCCCTGCGGACCTCGGTTCCCTTTCTGGGACACTGATAATTTAACCATCCCCTGCCTTCTGCCCGACCGGACCCTTCTTGGATTGGCACCTCGCTTTCATAAGTAAAAGTACGCCTTCAAATCAGTGGTGCATCTGATGAAAGTCTTTTAAAACACACAGGTCCAATCACCACACCAAAATAAACAGAAACACCCTCCCCGGACACATTCATGTTGTCTACCGGGTATCGGCAGAGGGAATTTGACTCTCACACAGATGACAGTGATGTCAGCAGACAGACCTTCCAGAGAGACCTGATGACGCTACCACGCAACACACAGAACAGGGGAAAGCTGGGCAGGCGGTTCAGCGGGCGGTCAGGGTGGCAACACCCCGGGGCTCTGGGGGTCACCAGTGTACCTTCTGGTCTGTTTTTTTTGGGGGGGGTGCGGGGGCCTGTTTCAGGAGAGCGATTGCCTGCCGGAAACTTGCATATCAAAGCAGCCTGGGTTTTGAGGAAATTCAGTATCTGGAACCTGCTGCATCGGGAAATGCGGGCCTTTGGAATGGGAAGGAAAACTGGCAAAGCCATGCTGGGTGACATCTGATGGGGTGGCCCGAGCCGGGCACACGGGACAAAGCCGCGAGCCTTGCTTTCCTGAGGCTGGCGCCGAGGAGGGTCCTGTCTGGGCTGCTGTTTTGTTTTCTCAGTCCTCTAACCGCGGTCATGAACAATGCTTTCAGAAGTCTCTGGACTGGATTTCCACAGACTGCGTGTTCCCCCTCGGACCAGCTGTCCTCTTTGAGATTCAGGAATTTAATTTCCCTGGGCAACGCCCAGTGAGGTACGGAGCACCAGACAGGCTCCCAGCCCCTGGAGGACGGAGGGGCGCAGAGGCCCGGGCTGCTGGGTCTCCTGCCCGCAGCAGCAGCAGCAGCGTGCAGGGGCCCAGCTCCTGCTCCTGCGCTCTCCCCAGTTCTCCCTGGCTCTGCAGCTCCTAGTGCTGGAGGCCTCGGACTTCCGATTGCTTCTCAAACCCACTCAGGTGCCTTGAACTCACTGTGTAGTCCAGCCCAGCCTTATACTCCAGATCCTCCTGCCTCAGCCTTCAGAGGGTGGGGACAGCACCCTTCCTTCCATTGCCTTTGTGAAAGCAGAGCCTGATAAACCGGCACGCAGCGGGGTGCATGGGAGGAGAGGACCTGGACAGCAGAGAGGCAGCGAGATGGCGACGGAGGCCAGGAGGGACAGGAGGACAGCAGAGGGACAGGGCAGGCACGGAGCCTGGGTCCTGGGCCCAGAGGTCAGGGCTTGGTAACTGGATGTTAAGCCTGGTGGGAATGTTCCCTACCCCATGCACTTTCAGCAGCAGTTTTTTTCTTTTTCTTTTTGACACACAGTTTCGCTCTGTCACTCAGGCTGGCTTTGAACTCACTGTGAAGCCCACACTGGCCTTGGTCTCGTATCGATCCTCCTGCCTCAGCCTCCGAGGGTTGAGATTGTAGATGCGGGTCATACCCTTGACGGCAAACTGCACAGTGCAGAGTTCAGTTCAGGTTTAAACTACTCATGGCACCCAGGGGTTCCATCTGTCAGGCACTGAAAGTGCTGGAGGGATCCGAGTTTCTTGTAATTCCAGACCAACATGGGTGACTTTTAGGTCTCAGCATTGCCACCGTACCTTTGCAGAGGCCCAGTGTTGGTTGCCGAGTCCTACCGTTCCCACACACCATCGAAGGCCAGTGGTCAGCTAAAGACATACCTTACACCAGAACGGGGGCTTAAATACCACATGGCTTCCTCACATGAGAACCCAAAGTGTAAGCACAAGATGAACAGTAGGTCACAGGAAAGTGGGAGACCGCTCTTCTGCCAAGGGAAGGGGACCGGGAGACAGGGTAGGGGGAAGGGAGTAAAGGCTGGGTACGCACCCCACGAGGGGCGTGGTTACTGTGGACTGCAAACACGGGCTGGTGAAAAAGCAGCACCAAGATGTATCTTTCCTACTCTTTCCAAAAGGAAAAATCTAACCTAGTCCACGTTTAAGAAATTGCTGATTCCATCGCAGGGTACTTCATTGAATTTCAAAGGTGACCTCAGGGGTGGCCTAACTTTAGGCACAGTCTCCACTGAATTCGCTCAAAGCAGGGACTGAACCCTCCCAGTGCAGCCCCCTCTGCTGAAATGCAGGTGTCACCATGCCCCAAGGGGATAAAGATTTATCAGCTAGCAGCGAAACTGGTCCCTGAAGGCTCCCCACAGATAAACATCCCCGAGGGGTGCAATGTTTTCGATACAGAGCCTCTAAACAGAAGTAAAAGCTCATGCCCGGCCTTAGGGAGCAGGCATGTGCTGCGAGAACACTGCTGGCTCCCAGCTTCAGATCTGGTGAGAGCTGGTGCCCCCTTGTTTCTGCAGGGAGAAATCATTTCAGATCTCTTTGGCACCAGGATGCTGCCGGTGATGCTTTCTGGAATAACTGATAGTCTGGCAAATCTCCAAAAACCTATGGAAAATTTCACTTAAAAAACTTAAAAGCAGACTAAGTTCATAGTTATTGTGGAAGAAAAATGAACAAAAAAGAAAACAGCAAAGTGAGAAATGTAAAGCCAGGGTGGTGCACACCTGTAATCCTAGCCCTTGGGAGGCTGAGGCAGGAAGATCACTGGGAGTTTCAAGGCCAGCCTGAACTGCGCGCACACACACACACACACACACACACACACATACACACACACACACACAGAAGCTAGAAATGTTTTAGAGCACATCTTGATACCCAGAAATAACGTTCAAAGTGGGAGAGAAGCTTTCTTGGAATGAGGTTCTGGAGAGGTTTCCCCCCATTCTTTAGATGGCCGTGTTTTCCTGTGTAAGCACTACAGCACAGTGGCAGGCTGGGCCTGGACTTGGGCTGGGTAATCGCTGCAGGGGAAGACCTCAGATCGCAGTAAGCCGCCCACCTGCTGGCCCTGGGATTCTGTTTAGGCTGCTGACTCTACTTTTTATTAAAGTGAGCTTCTTATTAGCGTTGATTATTCCTTTCCCACTGCTGGCAGACGAGCAGCTACTGTAGGCGGTTCACCCGGGCCAGCCTTACAGGGCGCGCTGCCGGTTCAGCCCTCTCCTGACCACCTTACATCCGGTCCTTGAGTTAGTAAGACAGGGGAGTGTGTCCACCCGGAAGGGTGCGCGGTCGCTGGGCAGGCCGGGGACACAGCCGTCCAGCCTCGGGGACTCCGCCCACTGTTGTGTGGGGCTGAGGCTGCGCAGCTGAGGTCGACGCCCTCCTAGTTTATCTCTTCTCAGCAGAATAGCGTTGAGTGCTACTCTCTGAGGTCTGTTTCTGCTACCCAGACCCTCTGATGGGTTAGTCTTGTCAGAGATCTGCTAACTCCTTCAAGGACCAAAGCAAACAAAAAGTCAAAAAATGGGTATTTATATTGCATTAGTTTTGGGGTCCAATGATGCTATTTGGATCTTCTATTCTTTAAGGGGATACAGTGACCAATTTATATAATTGATACTTTAACAGAAAACCTTTTTTATTTTTTATCAATGGCAAAATCTCTTTGTTTTGCCATTGGTAAAAAATAATCTGTTATTATTGTTTGATTGCAAAATGTGAAGCATTATTTAAAACATTTTAAGGCACCCACCAGAGCGTTGAGAGATTACTATTGGTTCTAACTGACCTCTGCATTAATTTCACATTATTTATTTTTCTTCCTTTTCTTTTTCTCTTTGAAATAAAATAGATTTGGAAAAAATACCCAGAAATTCTGAAGAAGGCCTTTGGTCTGTTTTGTGCACGGAAAAGTTGTTCTTCTCTTATAAAGCATTAGTGTTAAAAATCAGTTATCTTGGGGATGATATTTGGGGATAATATTCAACTGTATGTTATATGAACCTCAGTTTTTTTTAACCTCAACTTGTGAGAATGGAAAACCTCAGTTTTTTAAATCTATAAAATGAGAATATCGATACTTCCATAAAGTTCAAGTAAAATAAAGCTATATATTTGCAAGCTGTAAATCTGCATTATAAAGGTATGGTACTGTCGCCTTCACTGCCAAAAGGCTTTGCACACAGCTTCTCTCACCCCTTCCACGGCAGATTTAAGTCTTTGCCCCCCATATTCCTACCAGCTGAGGGTCTGCTGCTCCAGGACAGAAGGGGACCCTGGAAAGCCCAGGCCATTCAGAGCTGATGGCTGCCCGGCTGGGTGCTGTCCTGTCCAGGTGTGGTCTAGAGATGACTCCAGATGGTGCATCTTCACTGGGCATTGGCAGGTCACCCCTTCAGGACAGTGCTGGGGACTGAGTGATTGCACAAAACCTCAGGGGAGAACACCTTTGGGGTTTGGTTCCCGGGTGCCTCAAAGCACAGAACATCATTTGCAAACCTCTCGTGGTTGGGGTCTCCTCTATCACTGTGCCTTGCGTGGCCTCCACAAGCCAGGTAGATGGACCCCCATCATTTTCAGTCCCCCTAAATGTGCTGTGACTTGCTCTGGTTCTATTGTCCTCCTCTCCGAGTGGCTAAGGATGGTCCCCCTCAGGGTCTGGGGTGCTCCTCGCTGCCCCGAGGCCTGGGACCCCAAACTGTGCACTCTGAGCCTCCTCTTCCAGCCTGTCCCAGGACCCCTGCTGAGTGTCACCCTCTGGTTCCTCACATTACCCAAAGGCCAAGCACCTGGCCACTCACTGCTGCGTCCAGCGGGGCACCCGGCAGAGATGGGCAAGTTCTGGCCCCAATACACTGCCTCACCTGGGGGCTGGAGAAGCGAACGTATGAGAAGCTGGTGTCTCCACACAGAGCTCTCAGGCTCAGCCCTGCTCTTAGCCAACAAATGGGTGGGTCTGCCATGGTTTGGCGGTGCCACGCAGACTCAAAGTCTGAGACTGTTGTGGCCGCTGCTCTTCTGCTGGCCTTGGATCAGTATGGGCAGGAAGGTTCGTGGTTAGGCACTGTGCAGCTGTGGTGTGAAGGAGAAGCCTCTGAACTGAAGAGGATGAAAGGCCTGTGATGGAAGGCTGGCAAGAGCTGGCCCGTGTGTGTGTGTGTGTGTGTGTGTGTGTGTGCGTGTGTGTGTGTGTGTACGTGCATGCGCGGGCACGTACACCTGTGCACATGTGTTTAAAGCCCTCAGCAGCATGTGGACAACTGTATCATTTTAGTCACTTAAAAATAAGTTTAAGTGTCTGAGGCAACACCTACCCCTAAAATGGAAACTTCTTTAAATTAAGGAACTGAACCCTAAGCCTCCCTGCAGCTTCCTGTGTGCTGGGTTAGGAGCTGCTCGGCAGAAAGTGGTTTACAGCTGACTTTAAGTTTTACTGCCTTTCTAGAGGCTGCGTAGCTTACGAGGGGACTCGAATGTAGGCTGTGGTTTTTAGAACAAATAATAAATTTATAAGACAAAGGATCTATAAAACAAAGAAAACCATTATGTTCTCTGGAAAGATACTCTTCAAAAAAACCAAAGAGGGGCCTGGATACAGCTCAGTGGCACAGTGCCTGCCAAGTACAGGGTCCTGAGTTCAATTCCTGGTACAAAAAATATGAATAAAACCTCTCTGGCTGTGTGGATCTGTCAGGCACCCGGGACTCAACAGGGTTCTTCTCAGAAAGAACCTAAACTCCGATCTGTATGTGTGCCACTGAAGCATGGTACCAAGAGGTTCAAATTCATCAGTGATACCAAGTGGATTTCTGACTACAGTCGCAAAGCCCTCAGTTCAACAACTTGTTCTGCAAAGAACAGACCCTCATAAGACACCAGTGACAGACGGCGGTTGGGTTACCCCTGAGAACCAGGAATCTGTGGGTCTTCGTTGTCCAATCTCCTGATGGCCTACTGCATTTTTACATTTGGAGGTCCATGCGGCCCCCCTTCCCCAAAGTGAAAAGGGCTTTGTCAGATGACCTGCCCTTAACGGGGACATTCCTTTCAGTTTGTTTCCTCATCACCTACACTGATGCTAAAGAATCCAGACCTTCTCTAGGTCACAGCCTCTGACCCCCAGCTCTTCTCCCGGGTCAGGGGGCTGCAGGGCTGCAAATGGTGCACAGATGTCTCCGAGGACACCCAGATTCCAGGATCAGCCTGCAGCTGGGCCTCCAGTTCCCACACCTGCAAATGCAAGGGTACCACAGAATGGTACAAAGTGACAAGGGGTCTATCTAGAATTAAATAGAGTTAAGTAGTCTGACTTTTTACAAAACAGTTTAAGAGCACAACCTAGTTGTAGAACTTCTAGTCTGTCTCTTCTTGGGCTTTAATCCAAAGAGCATTAAGCTCGCAAATCTACTTTCTGCGGATGACAGGTCCACTTCCTTAACCACGCACACATCTGGCTGTAAATAAAGACATCGTGTTTGAATTATGAATCAGATCTCTGGAAATCTGTCAAAATCAAGTTGTTTTGGAGCCCACAAAGCTAAAGAGCAAACTCTGACCTTTGATGTTCCCAATGATAAAAGCTGCCTCTAAAATACACTTGACAGAAAACAAACCATACTGTATCCTACTCATCATGAAGGTAGTGAGGCGTTCGGGGGCTGGGGGAATTCTAGAAGTCTGGCGGGGAAGAACACTTGCTGCCCTACAGAGCTGGCTGATGACCCAGGCAGCGGAGACCGCAGCGGGAGGTGTTTTAAATAGAACCTCGGTCCTGACTCTTTCTCTTCTTGCTCCACGTTGAGATCCTGCGTCAGAGAAGATGAGGCACCTCCCGAGGATAAATGTCAACCAGACTTGTTTATCAAACAGGATATGAACTCCCGAGAGAGCCCTGACCCATCAGTGTGACGTCCAAACATGCTAAGTCATTCTGCTCCTGGGACACCCAGAACGAGCTGCCCGATCTCAGTCCAGAGAAAATGAAAGACAGCCACGTGCTGCATGGTGACGTCTAGGTCAACAGTGGGCCACGAATTTCATGCTGGGTCCACCAGTTGACACCTGGCAAGGTCTCAGTGCTCGCTGAATGCTGTCCACTGCTTGTGCTGGCTGGGGGAACTGGGACTGCGGGATGGCAGTGTCGAGACATCATTGAATCCAGGGGGAGCCGCCGCACAAGGCAAGTCCACAAGCCCATCACTATGCTGGGCATTCACTGGACTGTTCATTCATCCTTGGGTCCATCCATCCACTCAACACTTACTGAGGGTGGGTGTCATGGATTTGGGACAGAAACGAAACACACAGCACCTGTCTTCGGGTATCTGGTAGCTCAGTAAGAGAAAGGCAAAAGTAATTCCCTCACGGCATGCTGCGAGCAAGGTCACACAATGCTCATTTCAGTGCTAGGAACCAATCCACTTGTAGGGGGCCACGTGTGGGGCTAAAGCAAGGCCAGCCCTAAAAACACAGAGAGCCCAAAGCAAGCCACATGAACAAGCTGTTCCAGCTCCAAGAAGGCAAGGGGCCCAGGCTAGCCAGGCAAACAAGTCTCACGTACCACCTACATCCATGGTGGCGAACCTAGGGCACAAGTGTAGTTTGTTCTTCTTTTAAGACAAAGGGTGTTCATGTTTGAGCTGTTGTTTGTTTTGTTTTATTTGTCCTAAACTAAGATTCCAGTATTCAGTCTGAGTGGCAGTGTTGGCATTTTGCAAGCAATAAGCAAGTCTGGGGATGCAGTTTGGGCGCTGGGTCCCTGAAAGGTTCACCGTCACCATCCTAGATGGAATACTGGGAGGAGAACCAAATGCAAAACGAAAACAGTGTTCCCCAGAACCTGAGAGAGGAACCTGTCTTGTGTCACAGATAAGTGAGGCAGCGCCCTTCTACATGCAAGAGAGGATCTATCAAGGAGGAAGGCCCAAAGTGCATGGTTTCTCTCCCCCACCACAGCGTGCACGCTTGGGAGTTTGAAATGTGTTGTCCTGCTGCACAGCCATCGCAACCGTCCCTCTCAGATGTCTCTCATCTTGAAAAGTGACATTTTCCAAGCGCGAAGTAGTGACACCCATTCCCCAGCCCCAGCTGCTCTTTCTGTCTCCGTGCAGGGGATTACACTGGGCACTTTAGCAAAGTGGAGTCCTGCAGGGTCTGCCCTTTCCTGTGGGTTTGCTGTAATTTCTAATTAAATCGAGCATTATATTGCTTAGCAAAGAGAGCGCTGTTTTACCACGCTCTTTTGAAATGTATTTTTCTATCTTGTTGCTTTGTTTGTTTGTAGATAGGGTCTCACTGTGCAGCCCAGGCTGGCCTCAAACTCACAGCAATCTTCCTGCCTCAGCTTTCTGAGTGCTGGGATTACAGGCTGGCACCCCCACACCCCACACTGCTTTACCTTTTATAAGGGCTTTATGTACACTTTCAAAAATATTTAAACTAGAATTCTGGAGCTCTGAAAAGTACTTTTAGAAAAGACACTGTTGAGATTTCCTAAATTTTAATTTTCTACTTACCATTTTGGACTGTAATATCCGCATACCTCTCTATTATTTTCATACTGTCTACCTTCAAATGTTTCCTGCCTTGTTACTTTTATTTACGAAGGAAATTGCATGTGACTGCTATAATTGTGAAGGGAGGTTCCCAAAGAAGTCTCTGTCATCGTGGTTGCCATGACTCCACACTCCGGTGATATTTTATTTTATTTTACTTTCCAGAGGTGTTGCTGCGACTCTGCACGGTTTCGGTTGTGAACACACAGATCTCAAGTTCACAGCAGTTGTGAAGATTGGTTGCTGTCCTCCCCATTTCACAGGTACTGCGCCAGAGGCTGACCCAGCTAGTGCCCCAGGCTGAGCCGGAACCGCTGTTCCCCTGGGCAGACTGGCACCTGCAATTGGAAGCTCCTGCTCTGTGTGTGGAAATTTTTTTTTTTTTTGTCTTTTTCCTTTTTATCGGTACCAGGGATCGAACTCACGACTGTCTGCTTGCAAGGCAGGCGTTATGCCGCTGAGCTAAATCCCCAGCCCCCGTGGAAAACTTACCAAAGAACACGGATAGGAGGCCTGAAGCCCTTCCAGCAATTCCAAGGCTCTGCTGGCTCAATTCAGGTTCCTGAACCCTGCTGGGCTCCCCAAATCTCCCACACAACAACGGGGGACGGGGAATGGCAGACACCTGAAGGAGAAGCTATCCCTTCCCCAGGGATCTGAGGAGAGGCTGTCTCTTCCCCAGGACCCCAAGGTGCAGTGTGTGGCCTCCTGGATCAGGCTCAGTAAAACCATCACAGGGCGCTTTAGGCCCAGCATTGACCAGAAGGAAGCACAGATGTTTATGTCAACAAGCCCCACGGCTCCCACAACCACCTGGAAAGCCCACATCCATCCCACTGGCTCCTCAGCCTAAGCGGAGCGCTTGGATCTGCGCAGCTCTGCACAGTGACTCTTGAGGGGCCTGCAGCCACGCTGAGCAGCAAGTCCTGGGCCAGGCAGGCAGGTGGTTCTGCTCAGGGACCGAGAGCACCAAAGCCTGTCAATTCTGAAAGCCTGTGGAATTTGCATCAGGAAAATAGAGAAGAATTAAATTGGCTTCAGGGTGAGTCCTGGCATCCCTATGAAATCTGCTTCCTAATTTCCTCCCCTAGGTTCAGGCCATCTTTAAGATCTTGCTTTTGCTTTGTCATCCTGGGACTCCGTGGATGGTGTAGCTAGCTGGGATGTTTTCCTAAGAGGTAAAGTCTTCGAGCGGTCCCTTTTGGAATACATCAGCTCTCCAGCATTATTTAAGCTGGGTGTGGTGGTGCACACTTGTAGCCCCAGCGCCCAGGAGGCTGAAGCAGGAGGACTGTCTTAGGTTTGAGGCCACCCTGAGCTATGTAGTGAGTTCAACAGCAGCCTTGGCTGTAATGCAAGCCCCTCTCTCTAAAAGGAGAGCACATCCACAGAAGATGGGCGTTGTCCCTCTCTTTTCCGCCACACCCTTTGGAGCGCAGTCCTCCAGAAGTGACAGCCAAGTCCCAGCAAATCCTGTTCTCCGCTCAGTACGGCCAGAGATGAGGTCACTGCTTGGAATTCTCCCACCAGAAACTCGCAAGAGCACAGAGGCTCCTCAGCCTCAGCCAGCCGAACGCTGGCTGTGTGTCTGACTGGCTCTGCCTCTGGGAAGGGACGAGGGACCCGGGTCCAGGACGGCAGTCCAGGTTGCTTCCCTGACCCTTCCCTGTGACCCAACGCCTCCTCCTCCTGGCTTCTCTGAGCCACCCCACTGCAGCTTCCCCCTGAGAAGGGCGGGTGATCAGATCCGTGTGTGATGGGAACACTGCCCCAGAAGTGGGCTGCAGACTCACGAAGCATAAGGACCTGGGAATGTTAGCCTGGGGTCGTGGGCATGGAAACCCATGAGTCACTACAGGCCAGGGACTTCCCTAAATCCAGAGCCCAGGAGTCGGCAGAGGAACTGGAAACCTGAACAACAAGGATTTACAGGACCCCATGCCAGCTCCGAAATTCAGCCTTTGGGGAGGATCTGGAGTGTGGACCTGCCAGGCAGGAAGCAGGCCCTGGGGAACAGAAGGAAATGCAGATTCCTAGGCCGAGAGCCTGGGCACCTGTGAGCTTCCTGTAAGCCAGCCAGGAAGTGCTGAACGGAACTCTGGATCCCAGCCAGAGGGAGGTCTGGCCCCCGAGGTGCTTTCCTGTGTGTCTACTGTATGCTGGGTCCTGGCTGGAGCTGTGCCCTGCTCCAGGCTCAGGACCCAGGTGGTGCCCCATGTGGGGCACAGGCAGCCGGCTCAGCCCAAGGTCTGACTTTGCACTGTAACAGATCCAGGGACCTATTGCCTGGATCCCTTCTGTGTCTGCGGGGTCTTGGGCGCCTGCTCGTGGGTTAGGTAAGTCACCCTGATAACTGTGGGACACGGTTCAGATTCAGCTCATCCTTCTGTCTCAGAAAGATGAAATAATGCTCCCCCCAAAAAAAACCCAAAACTCAAGGCAGAGACACTGATGTTAACATTTATGTTTACTTAAAATTCAAAGTAGGGTACTGCGTCTGGCCTTCTTTGAGATTAAAAAAAAAAAAAAAAAAAAAAAAGAAAAACAGGTGGTGCCTGCCTGTCATCCCAGCACTCGGGAGGCTAAAGCAGGAGGATCACCATGAGTTTGAGGTCAGCCTGGGCTACACAGTGAGGCCCTGTTTCAAAACAAACAAACAAACAAACAAAATTGGTAATGGACTAGGCTACAGGGCTGAACTAGGACTAGGCTAAGCGGACCGAGAGTAACAGGGAGGTGGGATAGGACACGTCCTGTGCCTGGCCGCCCTTCGGGAGGTGGGGGCTGCAGCCCACAGCAAGCTCGCAAGGCAGCTTCTGATTCCTCATGTCTACAGATGTGGACTCAGAGTAGGATTGGAACCCAGGACACGTGGGAGACAAACTGTCCCACTGTTCCCACACCTTGCCTGGGGTCCCGAGGTCTGGGCCGCTCTGTAGAATGGCAGTTTCCTGGCAGAGGGGAAAAGACAGGCGGCCAGGAGGGCAACTACTAAGGATCATCTTTGCATCTTCGGTTTTTCGTCTGTTTTTCTGAGACAGGATGTTGCCTTGCACTTGAGGTGATCCTCCTGCCCTGGCATCCCACGTGCTGGAAGGACAGGTGTGCAGTACGGTACCCAACCGCACATGCTATTTTTAAAGTGTCACCACTCTGTGTTCTGCCAGCAACAATCCTTTCCAGGCTGCCCTGCCTGTGTGTCTCTATCAGAAGATGCAGCTCGTACAAGCAGATAGCTGTGCCCTCTGAGAAAGGCCATTTCATCCCTCTCCTTCCCTTTTCCAACAAGACACACGAGGCTGCCAGGCTGCCGTGCATGGCAGCAAGTGGAAGCAGTGTTTATCATCAACAAAGGTTACTGGGGCACCCTGTGGCTCCCTGCCCCTCCTCCATGCTCCAGATGTGAAGCCCCTCCCCCCACAGTCCCTCTGGCTCGCTACAGAGGCACAAGAACACGTGTAGATTTGATTTTCCTGATCAGGAAAACATTCTGAGGTTGCCGAGCGAGTTCTGGGGCCAACTTTGGTTTTGTCTTTCAAGCATGCTGACCTTTGCAGGAGCCAAAAAACAATACTTGACATTTCACGGAAAAGAAAGAAATACCATTTAGCAATTTTTAACCAACTGCCGCATGCAAAGGCCTTCGGGTTGCTCAACTCTTTCCAGACACAAATGACTCTCAAGGATGAGTAGTGTTCCTCTCACAGTCTTGAGCCAGCAAACAGGAGTGTTATTTAGCAGAGCCTGTGTCTTGTTGGGAGCCGCGTCTGTGATAGCTCGCCTTGCGCGGCGGACGTGCAGCCTGTGGTAAAGAGCAAAGCCTGAGGTAGATTACCCCTCCCATCGAATATGTTAGTTTCCTGCTTACCGCGTAAACAACCCGCTCAACAATATAGTCTGCCTGGCAACTGATGATGTTAGCCAATCAGCTTGCCTTGCTTACTTTAACATGATTGGACACTGTACCCGTATATATACCGGTGCCACCCCTGGGTGGAAGGAGAAGCCAGGTAGAAGCCCAGAAGTAAAAGCCCAAAAGGAGCCGCGGAGAGCGGACCGGTAGAGGCTTTGGGGCAGACTGAAGCACAAAAGGAGCCGCGGGGAGCGGACCAGAGGAGGCTTCAGCTGGGAGAACCCAGGGCAGGCTGTACGGAGAAGAAAAATAAAAAGAAAAGGTTGTCCACTACCAGACTTTGTCGTGTGTCCTTCCTGCCGGCCGGGAGCGGACATCGACATTTGGAGGCCCGCCCGGGGACTGATCACCCCCGAGACGTGGAAGTGGACAACGCTCCAGTACAGAGCTGCGAGACAGGTGAGTTGGGGATAAGCCTGGGCTCTGGGTGGCGCGCACCTACAGGGCTTTTAGACTCCCCTCAGGCTCACGCGTAAGTGGCGGATTCCTTGGGCCTCACGCGGTGAGTAACATATTAAAAGATGGGAAACATGTTAGGTAGCAACACTAAGAGCGAGGGTGGTTGTGGAGAAAGCTCTCAAGAGCTTACAAAAGTATGCAGGGTATCTGAGCAGGCCCAGTCAGGGAGCTCCCGAGAGGGGTCCGTCAAGGGGAACAAGGATGCTAAGGAGGAGGACGGGGCTCTAGCCTCGGAGTCGTCTGACTCCGAGGACGAGGGAAAGTTGAATGGCAAGGAGGCCAAAGAGACCAGCTGTCAGGAGCCCAAGTCGCTCGATAAGGAGTCGCAGGGTTCTTTACCTAGGGGGCCGTTTCCGGAGGCGATTCCTCGCCACGAGGCGGCCGCCTGGGAGCTCTCTCCCCTTTCGCCAGAACAGGAAGTGATGCACGGGCCCCCATTTTCCGCCCAATCACGGCCGCTGTCTTATGCTCCGCCGCCGGCGGGTCGGTATTTTTACAGGCGGCTTTGGCAGGGGGGACGCTTGTCTCATGAGGTACATCCACCTGGGATAGATAGTGGCCCCTACGGGATATTTCCTGTACAAGTAGCTATGGGCCAGGGACGCAATGTATGGGAGCCTTTTGAGATAAAGCAGATTAGAGAACTTAAAAATGCAGTTACAACCTTTGGGCCGACTGCGCCTTACACCACTGCCATGCTGGAGAATCTGTCTTCTGGGCCCCTCACCCCCGCGGACTGGATTCAGCTGGCAAAGGCGTGTCTGCCCTCGGGCAGTTACCTGGATTGGCGAGCCTGGTACGCAGAGTTCTCTGCAGAGCAGGCTGAGAGAAACGCCAATCGGGGAAACCGGGGGTGGAACAAAAAAATGCTTATGGGAGAAGGTCGGCACGCTGATGACCAGACCCAGTTCCCCGGCGCTGTCTATGAACAAATCAATGCCATAGGGCTCCGCGCCTGGAAACAGGTAAGTGGTGCCGGAACAGCCTCCTTGTGTCTTTCAAAAATAATTCAGGGTACCACAGAGCCATTTGTTGACTTTGTGGCCCGAATGCAAGATGCTGCCGATAAGATATTTTCTGATCCGGGAGTGGCTCAACCGCTGGTAAGACAGCTGATTTTTGAGCAATGTACAAAGGAGTGCAAGACAGCGATAGCTCCTCATAAGAACAAGGACCTCAACGCCTGGATTAGGATATGCAGAGAGATAGGGGGGCCGCTCTCCAACTCGGGAGTGGCTGCTCTCCTGGCCGCGGCTGTACAGCAGAGGGGACCTCGCGGGTTAGAAGGGGAATGTAAGGCTAAAGGGTGTTTTGCCTGCGGGGAGCCAGGACACATTAAACGTCATTGCCCAAACAATGCAGATGCTAGGCCTCGCCCTAGGAATGAAGAACCATATGTTTGTGGGCGATGCAAAAAGGGATCACACAAAGCTGAGGAGTGTAGGTCGGTCTTTGATGCTCAGGGCAACCGTATTTGTGGACAAGATGCTAGAGAGCCAAAAAACGGCCAGAGGGGGCCCCCTTCACAGGCGGGCCCCCGCCCCAGAGACAGGACAGCTCAGGGTGGCGGCCTTCAACAAGGGCCACCCCTGGGTCAGCAGGTGTGGACCTCAGTGTCGCCTCCAGACTTATACAGAAGGTCACCATTAGGATGGATGGCGTTAGGACCCTAAATGACATGCAAAAGCTATTGGGAGACATTAATTGGATTAGGCCATATTTACATATACCAAATTCAGATCTCAAACCCCTGTTCGACCTTCTAAAGGGAGACCCAGATATAGCCTCCCACAGGAGGCTCACTCCTGAGGCAAGAGCTGCCTTACAGAGAGTGGAAAAAGCCTTAGGTGGGGCTACCTTACACAGAATTAAACCAGGGCGACCCTTTGATGTCTGTTTGCTACAGACTAGTCTACAGCCTACAGCGGTGATTTGGCAGAAAGGACCACTACTGTGGATACACCCTAAGGTCTCACCTGCAAAAGTCATAGAACATTACCCAGAGGCAGTCGCTTCATTGGCCCTTGAAGCGCATGATAGAGCTGTCCAACATTTTGGCTCAGGACCACAAGCCATCCGAGTACCCTATACCGCCAGCCAGATCAAGACCCTGGCTGCCTGCATAGATACATGGGCCATTCTGAGATGTGTTTTCCATGGGGATATAAACAATCAATACCCTAAAGACCCTATCTTGTCATTTGTCACTCAGCACCCTATAATTTTTCCAAAGGTTACTGCCTCTGAGCCATTAGTCCTAGCAACTACAATATACACAGATGGCTCCAAGACGGGGATAGGCGCCTATGTGATCCTAGGCAAGCCCCCGGTTACCATACAATTTAAACCAGATCAGCCTCAGGTGGTAAAACTGCAGATCGTTAAAATGATTCTTAAACGGTTCTCAAAAGCCATTAACATTGTCTCCGATTCTAGGTATGTGGTCAATGCTATGCAAGTGCTTGAGACTGCCAGTTTAATTAGATCCACTTCCACAGTGGCTGGACTGTTCCTGTCTATCCAGACATTGCTTCAGAACAGACACCATAAGGTCTTCACCACCCACATAAGAGCACATACATCCCTGCCGGGGCCCATGGCACAGGGGAATGCGGCTGCTGACACTGCCACTCGCCCGTTATGGATTTTTACCTTACTAACACCAATCGAGCGAGCCCGTGCCTTCCATGATAAATCTCATGTTAATGCCAGGACACTAGCAAACCATTTCCATGTTTCCAGAGCAGATGCACGAGATATCGTGCGACTATGTGACTCCTGTGCCACATACAAACCTGCCATACCGATGGGAGTAAACCCTCGAGGTTTGATCCCTGGTGATGTTTGGCAGATGGACATCACACATATACAAGAGTTTGGGACTCTTAAATATGTTCATGTTTCCACAGACACCTGTTCTCACGTCATATTCGCAACAGCAGAAACAGGTGAAAAAGTGTCTAATGTGATCAATCATTGCCTGGCAGCTTGGGCCGCATGGGGCAAACCAAAAATATTAAAAACTGATAATGGACCAGCCTATATAGGCAAAGCCTTCAATGAGTTCTGCAAAATGATGGAGGTTCAATTAAAACATGGTATCCCATACAATCCCCAAGGTCAAGGAATCATTGAGAGGGCTCATAGAAGCCTCAAAAAAATTTTACAAAAACAAAAAGGGGGAGTAAGCCAAGGCCTGCCTCCAAAGGCGCGGTTATCTATGGCATGACAATGGATGGGCCCGGATCCGGTAATCAGCTGGAACCGAGGCGCGGTTTGTGTTTTCCCACAGGAACCGGGACGAGAACCACTGTGGATACCGGAGAGACTGACACGGGCAACAAAGCCCTCGACTGAAGATCAGACCTGCCCTACTGGAGATCCATCACAGACCAACCAATAAGATGAATAAAAATAGCGGTAGCCCGAAATAGACAAAAAGATCCTCAGGCATATGCATGGCTTGCTCAATTGGCCCACGACCGAGTCTAGATATGGCGGGCATCCCTCATTCTCCTCCATAAGGTGACAATACACAGCAGGGTAGGTGAGTCAATGACGGGTAAGAGCGTGCCTCCCCAGCACGACTCGACCTAAGCCAGGCCCTACCCCATCCTGCACGTAAGCCGCTGGACTGTTAGATGCTGCCCAGGTCTAAATTTCTCTCCGAGGGGATTTCTTTACGGAGAGGAAATGAGTGCAAGCTTGTGTGCATCCAGGTTCCGTCCAGTTTGTGCCTGGCCCTAGAAAAAGGACGAGGGCCTCAGGGCCTTGGCAGACCATGGCATGGCCAACCAGGGTCTAAGCCAAGGACCTACGGTGGACCTACACATAGGGCATAAGCCTCTGCACCCAGTCCAGAAAGGGCTACGATGCGCACATTCATAAAAAATAAAATAGGGGGAGATGTTGGGAGCCGCGTCTGTGATAGCTCGCCTTGCGCGGCGGACGTGCGGCCTGTGGTAAAGAGCAAAGCCTGAGGTAGATTACCCCTCCCATCGAATATGTTAGTTTCCTGCTTACCGCGTAAACAACCCGCTCAACAATATAGTCTGCCTGGCAACTGATGATGTTAGCCAATCAGCTTGCCTTGCTTACTTTAACATGATTGGACACTGTACCCGTATATATACCGGTGCCACCCCTGGGCGGAAGGAGAAGCCAGGTAGAAGCCCAGAAGTAAAAGCCCAAAAGGAGCCGCGGAGAGCGGACCGGTAGAGGCTTTGGGGCAGACTGAAGCACAAAAGGAGCCGCGGGGAGCGGACCAGAGGAGGCTTCAGCTGGGAGAACCCAGGGCAGGCTGTACGGAGAAGAAAAATAAAAAGAAAAGGTTGTCCACTACCAGACTTTGTCGTGTGTCCTTCCTGCCGGCCGGGAGCGGACATCGACAGTGTCTCCCAGGGCTGAGGTCACCCTTCCTCCCTGCAGGGAAACAAGGCCACCAAGGACAGAAAGGGGAGGATAAAGACACAAGGTGAGACAGAGAAAGGGGAGCAAGGAAGGAAGCCAACCACACACACCAGATGCCCACATCCTGGGGTCCTGGCCAGCCCTGGTCCTGGCCTTTGGCTTTGGTGACCATGTCCAGTGACTGGAGGAGACAGCACTGTCCCTGCACACTTCTCTGGTTCTCATGTCCATTTTAACTTCCTGGCTGCAGCTGGGGACCAGGGTCCACGTTCAGGCGGCCTGGCTTCTGCCTCCTCCGTCACTTCCTGTAGCAACACTGTTCCTCTGAGTGGACAGCTGAGCGGGAATGGCCATGGTTCCCAGAGCACTCCTGCCCCAACCCCCACCGTAGAGGACAGGCAGGGATGGAGTCTGCTGAGGCTGTGGTCCCTGCCAGGAACAGGCCTGAGTGTCCACCTGTCCTCCCTCCTGTCCCAGAGCAGCTGGGGACCTGAGGTTGCTGCAGGGAGGAGTCACCCCAGGCCACCAGAAACTGGATCCTTCCAGTCCTGTTGGGGAAAGGGCGCAGAACCCTAGAAACAACGCTGCTAAAAACAATTCAGTGTGGGAAATCTGAAAGACAAGCAAAGAGGAAAAGCTCTTTTTTTATGTTTATTTATTTACTTTATTTTGAGACAGGGTGTTGCTATGTAGTTCAGGAACAGGCTGTGATTCTCCTGTTGCAGCCTCCTTCCTGAGTGCTGGGATCACAGGTGTGCACCAGCTCACCCAGTGGAAAAGTTCGCTTCCCTGCCGAACAGGAGGGCACACTCGCTGGCCTGGGCAGCTGCTGCAAAGCAAAGCTTAGACAGAGGTTTCTAGCAAATGGCTGTCGGCCCTACGAGACTGTACTTGCAACGTGAGCAGGTCAGGAGGTTGTACATAAAAATTTGCTTTCTGAATTCTAATGTAACTGCTTTTTAAGTGTTGTTTAAGACAGGATCACAATATGTACTCCTAGCCCAAGCCAGCTTTCAACCTAGACTGTAGCCTGATCTGACCTTGAATTTGCACTGATTTTCCTGCTTCAGCTTCCTGAGTGCTGGGATGACAAACCTGTGTCATCATGCTTGTCATCATGTAACTTCTAATATAAGTTCCTTTCATCTGGTTGGCGGGATGCATTCCCGCCCAGAGCTGACAGCTGCTGTCCCTACAGACTGAAAACACCTGCGGGTATCCCCGGGTGCCCCTCCTGCCTGGGGTTGCCCGGGATAGGCTGAGCGCCTACAACCGGACCCAAGTTACTCCGCCCAAGAGCCTGGAAAGCAGGCGGAGCTGAGGGACCGACCTGGAACCCGGGGCCTTGGACCCCTGCTGGTAGGCGCAGCTCCAGCAGCAGGGCGCGGCCCAGGGAGTCTAAGACCAGGCTGGTGGCAGATCTTCGGGGCGGAGTCCTTACAAGGAGTCTGAGTTCCGGAGCCGGAGCCGCCGCAAGCCGGAGACAGCAGGCGCGGTCTGGCCCGGCTTCCCCTCCCTCCCCGCGCCGCACAGCTGCAGCGGTGCCGCCTCCGCCCCTGGGCTCAGCACGCCCGCAGGCTCGCTCCCCGCTCCCCGCACCTGCCCGCGCATCGTGGGGCGCACTGAGCATTCCTTGTTGCTTTTCGCCCTAAGGAGGAAAACTCCGCACCTCCTCCTTCGGAAACGATCCCGGGCCGCCGCGCGGTTGGTGGGGTATCCTGGACGGCAGGCGCGGGGGAGGCTGTGCAGGCAGCGCCCAGGCCTCGGGTCACAGAGAAGGGCACACAGGGTCCCCACAGCACCGCCGCCAGACGACGAAACCAGAAAACAGCCGTGAACGGGAGCGAGACGGCCCTTTCCGGGAGGAGAGAAGCTGGGGCGCTCGCGGTTTTCCACCGTACGCCCTCCCAGGACCCGGTGCTGCAGGCTCCGGCTCCGTCTGAGGTCTTCAGGCCGCGGGATGCGGGGAGATAGACGATCACGGCCGTCTCAGAGACCGGTTACGCGGCTGCCGTGCACCGCAGGGGCTCAGCTGCACGGTCTGCGCCTCCTGCCTGCGCTGAGCACCCCGGATCTCCAAGCCAGGGTCGGGCAGGTGCAGGTGCCTTCACAGCACATCAGGGCTCTAGGCTGGGGCTGCCGCCGCTAACTCCGAGTCTGCTTCACAGAGGGAACACAAGAGGCTGGAACGCAATGCTGCGCTGCTCAGAGTATTTGCAAGGCGTTTCTTCTTCCTGACCTGAGTTTGCAATAGACCTCCCTATGTGGTCCAGGCCACTTCCTGCCTCAGCCTCCTGTATGCTGGGATCACAGATAAGCGCCACCACGCCTGGCTCTCTTCTGCAGAACTCTGTGTGTGTGTGTGTGTGGTCCACTCCAGTCTCATGGCTCTGCAGCCCTGAGCACGTCTTTCCTGAAGTTGCCACTGACTTTTCTACATATCCCAGCAAATGTATAATGCTCAACAGCCACCGCAGCTCGAGGGATGAGGCAGCCTGTGTGCCATCACAGCAGCCACGTGGTTCCTCGACTCTGTAACTTGCAGTGGATTACAGGGACACTGCTCCCCATAAACCGGGCCACATGGTGTTATCTGCTTACCCTTTGTCCTTGGTGAGCCCACATCAGCACCATCAGCACTTCCATCCCACAGGGAGGGGCTCGTCTGGGGCAAAGTCAGCACCCACCCCGGAGGCAGTCACCCATGCTAGAGAGTGAGTCTCCAGGTCCCCGATGGCTGTCCATGGGACACTCATTCCTGGTCTCAGATGGGGCCTTTGGGCCACAGGTTTTCATCATCCAGGAGGCCGAGAGGTGCACCGCCCTGGAGACACACGCCCCTGCAGGACAGGTATCCAGCCGGTCCCTGTCCCTGAGCTTCTCTGTGGCCATACTCCAGCTTCCTGCTGCCAGATCGGTCTCAGGTTTCAGTTTGAAACAAAAGAGGGCAGGGAGTGTGTAAGGCAACTGCCATAAGAACCATCCTGATTTCCTCACAGGGAAGTTTGGAACAGGAACCCCAGTGTCCCCGCCGAGCTAGGTGAGGCCAACTCCCCAGGTTGGGAGAGGATGGGGTCCTGGCTTCGGGACCGGTCCAGGCCACACTTCCAGGCAGCGGCAGATCTGGGGCTCCCCAGCCTCCCAGCACGCTTTGGTCATGGTCATCTCACTTGAGTTGAAAGTATGGCCAGCAGACAGGGCCACTCCAGCAGGTCCTCTCATCTTCGGGGAGGGGCGTGGGTAGAGGGACAGTGCTAGCTCTGGTGTGGGTGACTCCACCACTCAGCTGTTGCAAGGTCTGAGTCTGGGCTCACACCAGGTTCCCATCCGTGCAACACCACTGTGATAGAAGCGAAGGTTGAGGACTTGGAGACAGAGCGTGGTTTGGTAGAGACAACCATTCTGTGCCCCTGCCTCTCCTCCTCCTAATGAAACCTCTGATCTAGTGGGGTCAGGGGCATAAAAGAGGCGCACACTGCGGACCATGTCCAAGGAAGAAAGCCTTGAGGGCCAGAACACTGAGCCCAGCAGCTATGGCTCCTGTCACTGCAGACTGTGTGTGACAGGCCTGGGCAGGGCACAGAGGAGAAGACAGAACTGGAACTGGGGCGGCTTCGGTTCCACTGCTCCCGCAGCCTGTCAGATTTTAACTCCATTTCCCTCCTGTCCTTCTGGCACTGATGAGAGAGCTTCACACGTGTGGGCTCAGGCCAGGGAGCATCTGGAAATAAAATTGTTTCTTGGATGTTTCCTTGAAACATTAAAAACTGGGCTGGAAGCACAGAGATTTGTAAATGGAGAAAATTCAAGTAGACGTGAAAATGTCTGCAGATGTTTGGTTATTCTTACTTGTCTTTTTAGGAAGAAGAAAACTTTCAAACTACAATAAAAGAGATTCTCTGAATAAAAGAAAAGCAAGAGGCTATTATAGAAAGTTGCCTTTCTCAAAAATATCTCATAAGGATACAAGAAGGAAACCCTCCACTGGGATGATGAATCTGATTTATTTATTTTTGGAGACAAGAGTTCTTGCTGTGTAGTCCAGGCTGGTATGAAAGTTCTGGCAATCCTCCTGCCTCGGCCTCCAGAGTTGTGGGATCACAGGTGTGCGCCATCATGCCCTGCTGACTGTATTTGTTTGAGGCATGAACATTTCTAACAGACTTTGGGAGATGCCAATGTATTAGTAATCATTGGAAAGTTGTTATGAACAAACCTATTACACAAGCATACAAAGTGATATCTTGGTTTACAATGGTTCCGTTTTCACTTGCACTATAGGAATCGGTAAACTCAGATAGCAGTTTGTTATAAATCAGCCTTGGGGTTAAGTAACTGTGCCCAGCTGCATGCTTAGGAGCTCCTATTCCAGGCGTGAGTAGGCTCTGCTTCGAGGTGCAGAAGGGTGGCCTATGAAACGACCTTCAAATTACAGCGTTTCCAGTGTCGCTGGGTTTACCTGAATCATTACTCTATCATACATCCAGAAGCAGCTGAATTCCTGGAATAAAATACCCAAGCAGCAGATTTCGTCCAGAGCCAAGAACATCTGTGTCAGTTTTCCTGATCCAGGGACAGGGAGGAGCATTTAAGGATTTCCCCACAAACCATGGAGGACAAACTTCCTCATTCCTACGGTGTCTACCAATCTTCTTTGAACCATGTTTCAGGACTGAGAAAACAATTTCCTCTAAAACTTGCTTGCAGCAGATGATCAGGTCATGAACACAGTTGTAGCTATCAAGTTATCCGACAGCCAGAAATGGTGGCATACACCTGTCATCCCAGCACTCAGGAGGCTGAGGCAGGGGGAATTCCTGGGAATGAGTGCAAGGCCAGCTTGGGCTCCACAGTGAGTTCAAGCCCCCTTGAGTTACAAGTTGAGGCCCTGTCTCAAAGAACAAAATAGGTACACAGTTCCAGTGATGTCTTCCTGCCCTATGCACCCAGGATTCTCCACCTCTCTTGAATGCTAGAGATGAAGATGGTACCTTCAACGCAACTGTAGACTTCACTCCAGAAAGAATGGCTACCATCAAGAAATCAGCCAATTACAATGTAGGTGAGGGAGCCAGAGAAAAAGGAGCCTGCTATGTGGTTGGCAGGAATGCAGACTGGTGCAGCCACTATGGAAATCCTTCAAAGACTAACACTAGGCATTCCATTTGACCCAGCGGTTCCCCTTCATCTTGACACAGTTAAAGACTTCATATGACGGTGATCCACGCATAGCCGTGTTTGTAGCAGCACAATGGCTAAATCTTGGCAGTGGTAACACCTCTATCAGTGGAGGCAGAAAGCGTGGTGTTTACACACCATGGAGAACTGCTCTGTCCTGAAGAAAGATAAGCCTGAATCATTTTTAGAAACAAGGATGCATCTTGAAACCAATGAAGGTGGGCTTTGCACATGGACCAAGAACCCAGCCCGGGGGGACACTTCGGTCACTGGGGAGCCGCTGCTTAGAGTCTGGCGTTACTGAGCTCAGGACGGCGTGGTCGGCCAGGCCTGCAGGTGCTGCGCTGAGCAGTCAGAGGCTGTGCAGGTTTGGAGGCGCACAGGGACTTTGGGGCCTGAGCTCTCCCGCAGCTGACTGTCTAACAGCCGGGTGACCGCCAGACCAACGCAGGGACAGGGTCTGGGGAGCCTCGCGCTCCCGGGCCCCAGCGGCAAACCGTGTAGTGAGAGATGGGCTTTAGTCAGAGGTGAAATTTCAACACGAGGGTGGTGGAAGGCAAGGAAATCAGAAAACAGGAAGAACAGAAAGGACAGCAGCAGAGAGAGACAGACAGACACACACACGTGCTTTTCCTATGTGTGAAAATGTCTCATGCATCCGAGGCACTCCAGCAGCCAACAAGGAGTAATGATAATAAAACCAAAACCAACAGGAGGAACTGTCCCATGTTGGGGTCACCTAGGTCCTAGACGCTTAGCAGTTTAACAAATGGGGCTGGGATAAAAACCTCAAGGGATACCGAGGTCTGAACATGCACTGAATACTTTTAGCTACACGTTCCATAGTGTTACTCTCTTTGCCAAAACTGGGGGAGACTTGTGAACCGTCAAGGATAGCTCGGCGCAGATGCCTGTGGTCACTGCAGGCTGGGGGCCACTCCGGGAGCCCCTGCAGATGGGCCTGCCCCCCCATTGCTGGCCATGCACCCCACACATATTGGGGAGCACGCCACGGATCTCAGGCAGGGCTGTAAACACTGTCGGCCTGAAGTTGCCCAGTTCCGGTGAGACCACAGCAGTACAGCTGTGAAGAGCAGTGTGGGGTGCAGACACCGAGGTGGTGCTGGGATGGCCTGTGGGGGCCCTGGCTGGCCTCACCTCAGCCTCTCGGTTGCCGGAAGTCTGGTGACTCTTCTGAATAGAGAGGCTGCAAGCCCAGGACGGGAAGGGCCAGGTAGCGGCTGTGTATTTTCATAATTGATAGGTTCAGCCTACCAGTGCCCAGCGGCTAAGGATCAGCCTGTGAATCATTCCTCACCTGCACTCAATATTCAGACTCCAAATACACCTTGAAATCTCAGGATTTGTGTAAGTGTTAGCATGAATCCACTTCAAACTGACAGATGCAAGCCAGTTGGGAGTGGGCCTGCCTACCGGACCAGCACCAAGAGGCTGAGGCAGGAGGATTTGAAGTTCCCAGGCAGTCTGCACTACACAGCAAGTTCAACATTGGCTTGGACTACACAGTGAGATCCTATTTTGAGGAAAAAGACAAACTCAACTCTTTTAAAACAGAGGTTTATCAGATTCGTGGAACATGGAGTTCAAAAACAGTCGCTTAGGAATTTTGGTGAATGATGTAAAAAAGCAATAGACAGTGATGGTCATAAAAACTGATGTTAGCAAGGAGGCTTCTTGGGTTTGATGATGGCTGTCACTTTCTTTGTCAAAACTCAAGTCAGTGAGGAAGACAGGAAGGGTATGCAGTGGGCGTCTGAGACTCTGGCCTGGGCTCCCTGTTGACATAAGTACCTTCTTCCTGGTGGAGCCCCTTCTGTGTGTTTTTATGAGACAGCTGGAGGCGACCCACCACTGGACTCTCTTCATGACCCAGACCTGGCCACAGCACCAGTTACTATGTGCCTGGGTCCTGGGGGGGACGTGGCCACAGCGGGGTGGTTTGGTTCTTGACAGGAGTTTTGTGTGGGGAAGGAGGTTTTCCCTCAGGGTTTGGAGCTGAGTCTACTGCAACCGCCATGTTTAGTCCCCTCAGAAACCCAGTCAGCGAAAGCCAAGATGGCGCTCTGGGCTCTCTGACTTGGGCCTGGTGACCCAGTGAGTGTGACACTGCCTCTTCCTCTTTTGAAGTTTCAGAGTGCCTGTGTTTACATGAAATAAAATATAGTGAACTGGGAAGTAGCAAGAGGACAGTTATCACCACTGGGCTGATTACGGTGTCCAGGGGCTGCAGAATCACGAAAAGAATTAGGAAAAACATCAACTGTAAAACATTTTTCTGCCTTCATTCTCTATATTCTGCTCACTTCTGCTAGTTTAATTTTAAAAAATACGGATAAACTAATAAGAATCTGAGTGAAAAGTTCAGTTTTAGGGGGAAAGCTTTTCTTGAGATTTCAAGAAAAATCATTAAGCAATAAAAAACAATGGTAGTAAAAGCCGGGTGTGGTGGCACACATCTGTAATCCCAGAAGTTGAGAGGCTGAGGCAGGAGGATCGTTATGAGTTCAAGACTCGCCTGAGCTACAAAAGTGAGCCAGAAGCCAGCTGGAACTGATTAGAGAGACCCTGTCTCAAAAAGACAAAAACAATGGTAGATGTCTTAGTTACTTTTATCTTGTTGCTGAGAGAAATATCTGACACCCAAAGTTAAAGGGAGAAAGATTTATTTAGCTCACAGTTTTTGTGGAGGTTTCAGCCCGTAACTGGCTGCCTCCCAGGCAGGGTGGTGTGGCAGAGGGGTTTGCAGAGACTGTCCATGGCAGCAGAAGACAGCAAAAACAAAAGAGGCCTTAACAGCATCTGTCTGCTCCCTTTATCTTATGCAGGCTGCTCAGGGCGGGCAGCACTCACACCCTTAGTCCTAGTGCCCTTGAGCCTGGTGTTGCACCGTGAATCCCAGTGCTATGCACTCTAGAGCCAGCCACCTCTGAGAAAGCCCCATCTGCTTTCCACATGAGGCTTTGAAGGGACGTTTAACCACAAGCTAAAACAGCAGATATTTAAAACAGTAATTTTCTCTAAGCTATCTTTTATAGTTATATTAATGATACTTTATAAGTTCGTGTGCATTTTCTTAAATGCTCAAATGCATGCTAAGTATGGTGCTCAACTTCCATCTTTCAGGAAGCGATCAGTTCCTGAAAGCATTTCAAGTGATTAAGGCTGCCGTGCTTAAAGTGCCTCAAAGAGTCTGCACAGAGCGACGAAAAGCCTCGTGGACGCCCAGCTAGTGGCCCTTACCGCCTGTGATAGCTCGTAAATGCACACAGCTCAATAGGACAGGGCAGGCGCGAGGCGTGGAAGGAAGGTGATTCTGAGGTCGCCTGTGTGGCAAAGGACTGGAAGAGCTCACAGTGCCACCAAAACCAAAGCGCTGGACACAAGCGCACAGCAACGCCCCCGCGTGCGGGCGGAGCACACTGCGTGCTTCCATCACCCCACAGCGGCACCGTGGCAATGCAGACGCGGCTGATGGATCTGGGGACCTGGGAGACCCCGGAGTACCGGGGTTTCCAGACCTCTCCCTGCAGGCCTGAGACTAGAGGCTGAGCATTGAACCCTGGAAGGTGCTGGGCCTGGGTGGGGACACCGCAGCTTCAGCAGTGCCTGTGGACTACGGCAGGCTCAGCCAACCCGAGCTTGAGACACTTTCAGTTTTTACCTTCCAGAAAAATTCGTCCAAGTGTGTGTACATAAACAGTTCATTCCTCAGTACAGGAAGCTGGTGCCCGACGTCAACGTTTTAATTCTTTTTGTCCTCTTCCCCTCCCTCCCCTCTTCCTCCAGTCTTTGGCTCCCTTCCCTTTCATAAAAGATCTATCTCCCTGTTTCTTATTATCCATCTTTCATTTTGCTCTTTGTTTACATTTGGGGTTTGTATGAATAAACTTTGTGTCTGGTTTATTTCACTTAACATTAAGTTTCCAGGTGCCTCCATCTTTCCACAAAGGACCCAGGCTTATCCTTCTTTATAGCACAGTAGTACTCCATTGTGTATAAACACCACATCTTTCATTTTCATTTTCCTCCAATGGTGGCCCCTAAATAGCTGAGGCAGCATCCCCCAGAAACTCCTTAGAAACACAGATTCCCAGAGTCTAGGCCGATGACTGATCAGAGCCCTGGGTGTGGGCTCCTTCCCACCTCCCCTGTTCTGCTGATGGGGGTTGAAGCTGGGGTCTTCACACTGAAGGACACCACCAGACCTTCTCAGCTGCTCTTTTCAAAATCCCTCCCAAACACCCCAGTTATCCCTCTGAGGGCAGGCAAGAACATACCCCCTCCCCCTTCAAAATAAGAAATAGTTCAAAATGGACACAATTTTACAGATTGGCTTCCTGTTGGCAGGTGCCGAGGCTGAACAGCCTGTGTGGCTGGGCATCTCTCACCCAGCTGCCACCCCCCTCTTCCTCTGGTGATGGAGCCCTCCTTGCAGCCTCCTGGCCACTCTCTGTAGCGCATGATTCACACCCTGAGACCAGGTTCACACCCCCAGAACTGAGTTCACACCTCTGGAACCAGATTAACACCCTAGGAGACAGATTAACACCCCTGGAACCAGATTCACACCCTAGGAGACAGATTAACACCCCTGGAACCAGATTCACACCCACAGAACCAGATTCACACTCCCAGAACTGGGTTCACACCTCTGGAACCAAATTCACACCCCTGCAACCAGATTCACACCCACAGAACCAGATTTATATTCCCAGAACAGGTTCACATCCACAGACCAGGATACATACTCCCAGAAACAGGTTTACACCCCTGGAACTGGATTCATACCCCTGGAACCAAATTAACACCCCCAGAACCAGATTCACCCCCCTGGAACCAGATTCACACCTTTAGAAATGGGTTTACACCTCTGGAACCAGATTCATCCACAGAACTGGATTCACACCAATGGAACTGTAGTCACACCCACAGAACCAGGTTCATACTCCAGGAACTGAGTTCACACCTCCAGAACCAGATGCACACTCCTGGAACTGAATTCACACCCCTGGAACCAGGTTCACACTCATAGAACAGGATTTACACTCCCAGAACTTGTTCACACACCTGGCACGAGGTTCACACTCACAGAACCGAGTTCATGCCTCTGGACCAGGTTCATACCCAAGAACCGATTCTTCTGTGAGCCCAGGCAGGGGAGGCCAGTTGTGCCAGGCCCAAGTCCCCAAACTGCTGCCGTGAGGAGCCGCTAAGGAATGCCAGAAATCTGAGTGTTCAACGTGACGTTTTTCAACTTTAAAGCTTTCAGCAAATACTGAAAAATCTAAATGTGCCTATGTACCTCTGTGTCTGTGAAGTAAAACCCCTCTGCAGGCTGACAACTGGACCTCGACCCCAGGCCCACCAGCTGTGTGGTGCCAAGGTAACCGGGCCAGGGGCTCCATGCTCAGGCTGGCACCTGTCACCTGGCACGGGCTCCCTCGGGTCCTCAGACCACACCCGGCCCATTTCTCCCCATGCCTGTGGCAGGAGCAGGAGCTCTGCAGCATCCTCAGAGCACGCTCTGGTGTCAACAGCATTGGCTCCGTCGCAGACCTCAAAGCCACCGACTCTTCCTACACTGGTTATTAGGCTTTGATTAGACAAGAAATCACAAAACTGTGTCTGGATGAAAGTCTGGCTGCCCAAGAGTGAACCTACAATCGCCCACCACTGAGTTTCAGCGGCGGTTCAGTACCCGCACTACATGCATGCACACTCTGGGCAGGTCAGCAGGGCCGTGAGGAGCCTGTGGAGGTCATCTGGGGAAAGAATTCTAGCGGTGGGCAGACCTGTTCACTTTGGAAAGTAAGGGAAATATGTTCATTTCAAATGTGACTTTGCTTTTTTGAGAGGGTCTCACTATGCAGTTTAGGCTGGCCTTGCGCTCCTTTTGTAGCCCAGGCGGGTCTCAAACTCTCAGTGACCCTCCTGCCTCAGCCTCCCGAGTGCTGGGATTACCAGCATGCACCACCATACCTGGCTCAAATACGATATTTTGCTACTTAACAAGGGCATTGAAAGAATCAGCAGTCCTTTCTGCCACAGTCAGGTAAGTTTTACTCATGGTCTCAAAGACTAATCTAGACCGGATACTGAGGAGAGGAGACAACACGCGCAGAGAATATTAGTGCCAAGCAGGTGATGGGGCGCTGCTATGTGCTTCGCTCCTGGCTGGTGCGGCAGAGACACTGCCACCAAACGTGGTGCAGGGCTGCGCGCCCCCCTCCACAGTCACCATCTGCGGAGTCCACACAGCCACTGGGCTCAAAGCGTGTTTCTGCGCTTACTGGGGTGCTGTCAAAATGCGGAGTAAACACGGAGTGCACGCTCTGTCCCCCTGTGACGATGATATGGTTAGGGTCCCTGGAGTATCTGCAGCACTGGGGGCGCAGCCCCTGCCTCCGGGGATCTGTCCGCACCCACCCTCCGGCCTGCGCCTAGCGGTCCAGGGCACGTGGAGGTTACCTGCAGACTGTTGAAGAGCACGAAGAGCACCAGCATCCAGAAGTGCCTGTAGGCCGCGTGCAGGCCTCCCCAGAGCCAGGTTACCGACACCAGAGCGAAGAGGTACAAGATCAGCGGGATTTCTAGAAATCACAAAGGGAGGGAGAGAGTGAGACAGCTTCCTTACACCTCACAGCCACGCGCGACAGCCACGCGCGGCGCGCACCGGCTTTGCCACTTTGCTGCGACAGCTTTTCGGTGCGTGAGCACCCAGGGGAGAAACCAGCCCTGGAAATCCTGTTCTCCTGCTGCCGCCGCTGGGGAGCGACGGGCAAGCGCAGGGCTCTCGTCGCCTCTCTGAAGCGTGCGCAGTTGGCCCGGGCTGGGGGCGAACCATCCCTCTCCTCGGCTGCCACCTGCCGGCCCCTTCGGGAAGCACCGTGAGCGACTGGGCTGAATTTTTCAGAGCGCAAACCTAGGCGGCCCGTGCTCCCCCAGGTTGGCATATTCTAAGTATTTAAAATCGGGAAGTAGTAGGTAAAGAACTCTACAGCGCCTGCCTGGCAAGCACAAGGTCGTGAGTTCGAGGCTCGGTACAAAAAATAATCTCTCTTCAGTGTCAGGAAACAGGTGTTCACCTTTTTAATAAAAAAACTTGACAAGACGCCAGAAGTTATGAATGTTAAGAGCAAGTGTGCAGGGTGGGTCCCTCCTCAGAGCTGGGCTCCCAGACCCATCACACCTGTTGTAGTTTGTGTCCACAACAGATTTCTCCAGGGCCAAGGGACTGTATTACCGTTTCTATCTGCTTGTGAGTTTTCTTCCATGTTTGGATTTTACTATTTGAATGACAATTTATATATTACCTTCTGAATACTCTCATGTGTGTCTTCCACAAAGATATTTTCCTATACAAATACACGACCTCATAAGATCAAGAAATGCACAGGAAAACACTGTACCATCATTACTATAACCCGCCCGGCAGAGCTGACACCCCACGGCAGGTGCGGTTAATCTCCCACGGTTCTGAGTATCCTTGACTTTCATGACCCTTGTAACCATTAATCTAGATTTGTCTGCTCCACTGGATTACGAAATGCCTAGCAGATTAGTGAAACGTGCTCCTGGGTGTGTAGATGGGTCATGCAGATTGCAACCTTGATGCCACCACAGGCCTTTGGCCTGCCTGAGCGAGTGTGTTCTGTAACACACTTCCCCTGCTCCGCCTCCTGGTTCCCATCAGGTGAACAGCTCGCCTCCACGGGCCCTCCACTGTGCCATTTCTGCTGTGGAGCTGGCTGGGCCACACACTGAAGTCCCAGAACCACAGCTGAATTAAATTTCTGAGTGGTGGGCTTGGGAGTTTTGCTGCAGTGACAGGACAGTGATGAATACAGAAAGGCTGGCACGACAGAAGCGGCGTCACTGTTACGACTCTACTGGACCATCCGGTTCAGAAGTCCGTCACACTGGTGGGGGAGGATTTGGAAAAGTCTGGGGACGTCAACAAGGGAAGCCCTAGAGTACTGTGAGCAGTGTTTGATGGGGTACAGTCAGAGCTTGGGAGGCCAGGATGCTGACAGGTGTGAGGACGGTAGAGGCCAGGCCCCAGCGGTTCCCAGAGGAACAAGGACCACCGCAGTCAGACTCCAGGCCCTGTCTGTTACCTCTCCAACCAGCACTTTCAGTTTCAGCCCAACACCACGGCTTCATTCAAGTTTCCTCCTTTTCCATATTTTGTAACTACTTTTTCTGTGAGAAATCGATTTTCTTCTCTCTCTCCCTCTGAATATTTTGTTTTGTTTTCCCCAGTACTGAGACTTACATCCCTAAACCTTTTTTAATTTTTGAGACTGGATCTAGTGATGTTGCTAAGCTGTTCAAGCTGATCTCAATCTTGCAATCCTCCTGCCTCAGCCTCCAGAGTGCTGGGATTACAGGTGTGGGCTGCCATGTATACTCACTACTCTTAATTTATCTCCCTCTTCACTCAGCTCCCCTGTATGTGACCAATCACCCATTGCGTCACGCTTCCCCTTGCACACATGGCCTTCCACATACACTCAGGTTCTGTCGCCTCCTGTGGGGCTGCACCCGCTACCCAGGTGGTGGCTCCTGCCAGTGACAACAGAACTACTGTTTGACCCACGCATACCACTCTCGGCACAGGCCCAGAGGAATTACAGGCAGCACGCTCTGGAGATACCCACACATTCATATCACACAACAGCCGAGATATGGAAGCAGTCCAGGTGCCCATCCAAAGATGATGGACAAAGAAAATGCAGTGCATATGCACAAAGGAGTATTGCTATGTCATAAAAATGAGTGTTTTTCATTTGCAGGAAAACGGATGGACCTGGAGATTACCCTGTTGAGTGAAATACGCCAGACTCACAAAGACAAATATTCTACGTTCTTTCTGATACATACATGGCCTCTAAGAATGATGCCAAGAGGGTGGGAGGTGATCTTGCCATATCCCTCACTGCTGGGACAAAATAACTGACACCCATCACTGCAGGGAGAGAAGTTTATTCTGCCTTATGTTCCAGCTCACATTGGCTGCCTCCAAGGTGGGGTGGAGGGGACAGTCCTTCGAGGGAGGCAGGGCAGCAGGAAGCAGTGGCGGAAGGGAGGACTGGGAAGGGAGATGCAGTAGTGACCACCTGGCCGCACCAGGTTCACTTCCCCCTGGGAGCCTGGCCGAGGAGCGCCTGGGGCATCTAGACTGGGACGGCAGCAAGTGCTATAGTTAAGACAGGAGGAAGGGAAGAGGAGGGTGCCCGGAGGAGGAACGGGGATGCACATAATCAAAATACATCAGCAAGCCACACTCCCCCAAAATGTGAGGTTGGGCTGGGAGGGATACGGGGAAATGACAAAAGGGGGTTACATGCCTGGGCAATTCTGCCTCAGTCCAACCAGGAGCCCTTCTAACCAGTGTGCACTAATTAAAACCCTTTGGAGAAATAAAGTTTACAAAAATCAAATCCTTTTCAAAGCACAAAGAAAGCCCCCACACCTGGCAAGGCAGCATTTGTGGCCACCTGGAGGGCGGGTGGCAATCAGCCTGGCCAGCGACACTCCTGGCTGGGCGGCCAGAATCAGGCACACATTCCTGGGAGGTCCTAGCATCCCACTGCTGGGTGGGAACCTCAGAAATCCAAAGGCAGGAGCCTGAAGCAACAGCTGCCACACCAGCACTCACGGGAGCGCCCAGCAGCCCAAGGAAGAAGACCAGTCCAGCCACCCATAGAGGAAGAGAGAAAAGAAACAGGTACGGACAGAGGACACCGCGGAATCAGTGCCAGGGCGGTGCCCTAAGAAGAGCCGGGCCTCTTTCCCGAGAGGGCACGGAAGGCGGCAGCATCTCAAGCCCAGGAGGGGCCTGGCCTCCTCTCATTGCAGCACCCCGAGCAGGGACTCAGCCGCTGTGGGAAGTCAGCCACGCCATGGCCTCTCATCCCAGCAGCTCGATGGCCTGGGCACTCAGTAAAAGTGAGGTTCTGATCCATGCCCTAACAGGGATGAGCCTGGAGCATGCTGTGTTAAAGGAAACAAGTAGGACCTAACCTGGTCTTCTCCACTTTCGGATTTAGAATATGCACAGGTACCCAGCAGAGAGCAAGGCAGAGGTTTCCAGCGGTGGGCGGAGGGGAGGAGGGAGGATTATCGCTCAGCAAGCAGATTGAGTGCTTCTCCTTCTTCTGCTGAGAACCTGTGGGAGATTCCCACGGGGGTGGCAGGCCGTGTGAAAGTACTTGGTAACGCTGAACTGTACACTTAAATGTCACGCATGTTACTACAACTCAGAAAAAAGGCTTACTATGCTAAGTCGGGCTTGTGTCAGGATGAAGTTCTACTACAGGGAGGATAAAAAAGCCATCCAAACACCTAAGTAAAACTCTTAGATTAACAGGGAGGCACTACTGCGAAAACACAAAGGAGTGTGAAATGGTTTTAGTGTAGCAGAAATTACCAGTAGAAAAGAGAAAATAGGAACTTAGTTGTTAATCCTCCCATCATCCAGTAAGTCCAGGGGAAGTTAGCAGATTCGATGGAGAGTATAGCCCATCTCCTCCTTAGTTTCAGTGGGAAATATGAATTCAATGGATCTAATTGCCACTTCCTGCCAATGTGGAGAGGCACAGTATCTGTTTGCTTTGTAATTGCAGCCTTTAAGCCATGCGCCAGTGACAATAATGGCTTTATTATGGAAATCACACCCCATTTACATGAGGCTGAAATTTATTCTGTGTTTACAATCTCCTAAAGTACCCGCTTTAATTGTGCCTGGCTGACCTCCTGATTTTAACAATTTGGGATGTGCTAGGAAAACAAACCCATCTGCGGAAAAGGAGGAGCACAACAGTGAAATGGGGCAGGTTAGAGAGATCTCCGCAGGTCTACTTCCGGCAACAGGCTTGCACAACTTTTGTCTTTATATGCTGGCGCCAAATTACGGACTGCTTCCAGAATTCTCGGGTCATCCTTGCGCTAATCTCTGAATCGCTCGGATTTTAGTGTATGTGCTGTGAAGTTTGCACCACGCATGATTTTGTCATAAAAAAAAGATGAAATGAAAGCATCCAGGGCATCACTCCTAAACATGGGTCTTGATTCTGCAATTAGGAGACAAGTTCCAGTGAGGCAGTGGCGTGGTCTGACCTGCTTCTTGGTGAGAAAATACTCCTGGTGGTCCTGGCTTTCCTGATGAGGCTCAATACTTATTTCACCATGCAGCCCCTACCAGTGTCTGGAGAAAAACTTAGAGCTGCCCAGGAGGACCGAGGAAGACAGTGGGAAGTCTGAGTCACAGAGCTGCTGTGCCACCATTTAAGGTGTGGGGTGCCCGGTGGCCACAAGGCCTGCGGCTCAGGCCTGCAAACTGCACAGAGGTGCCTGGGTCGCCCAGCACCTGACCTCCAGTCCTTGGGGCTGTCCTCGGTCCCAAACCTGGAGCTTCCTTCTTCCTGGGCCCCTTTCCCAGGCACCCCGACCTCACTGTGAAGGGCTACCCACCCCTCACACTGCTCTGTCTCCCCTTTCCTGGTTCTTCGAAAAACACCCACACACTCACCACACACACTTTAAGTAAGGGTGACTGCCCAGGTTCCTGGGGTTCCCCAAGACCGCC